AAAATAAATAGGATTTACTATTTTATCACCACAGAAAAATAAGAAATATCAGTAACCGTTTTCTACACTATTAGTATAGAAAGATAAGAAATAAAAAATAGATACACTGCTCGACCCTTTTTTCCAGGTACTTTTCTTCATCGGAAAGCTGATGGAATCAACTACTCTCGAATAAGTGAAAGAACAAAACGAACCATACACGATCAGATTATAATAGGCAAGATCTACATTATGTACCGTACATGTTTTTTTTTTTGGATCTTATATGATCTGTTAAGATCTGACAGCAAGGATTCAGTCTGTCCTTATCAGTGTCTTAATATTTGAATCTTGTAAGATTATTTGCTGACACCGTACAACCAAAATCTGAGGACACGTTTAAAAAAATGAACACATAAGATATTGTCCGATATTGTAACAAAATCATAGAAAAACCCTTACAAGGGTAAGATCTTATTGGATCTTGCAGGATCTGACATCTATTTTTTTGAGGGTGTGAGTATGAGTGTAATTCTTGTATTAACCCACACTCTTTTGACCGATCATGCTTTTTACTGAGTCTGTTCATACCAAGAGGAAATAGATGTCGCTTGTTTTAAAAACATCTGATTTTTATTAGTATGAGACAGATTTATTGCCTAAAATTTTTTTTCTGACACAATTGATAGGAATAAAACAAATATACCTTTTGTTATAAATTACGAACTACGTTTTTTCTTCGATTAAGTATCTATTTTTTAATACAGATATTGCTCTTCAGTAATCATATCTGTAATGGTAGCAGACATACCCTGTTTATTTTGTATGCATGTATATACATCTGCACTCTTTTCCCATTAAGTACTCAAATCTTGACGTAAGATAAGTATCTCGTATTTAATGTACATATATTAGCTTTATCTTAAATGAAGTAGTCAGTTCATAACAGTAGAAAGGTGAATGATTCTTGTTTTATATAGTCTGTTTTGATTTTATCTAATATTCAGTTATAGGGATAGACAGACATTCAGAGGGTGCGGGTGTGGGTGTGTGAGTGTGGGTGGGTATGGATGAGTATGGGTGTGGATGTGGATGTGGGTGGGTGTGATTGTGAGTGTTTCTTCGTTAACAACCTCCATCCACACCCATCTCACGTCAACAACCCCACCCCCAACACCCACACCGAGTATCAACACCCATCTCACGTCCACAACCCACCCCCAACACTCACATCCAGCATCCACACCCATCTTACGTCCACACCCCGATCTCCACACCCATCTCACGTTCACACTCCACTCCCACACCCAACACCCACACTCATCTGACGTCTAGACCCCACCCACACTCTTTGTCTTCATGAGAAAAACATTCACAGTATCCCAAGGCTATAGGACCCTCTATCGATGTTGTCGAAAGATGTTTCTCTGATTTTAAAATGTTCATGTCACTTGTTTCATAAAATTGAAGATATTTTTTTCGACAGTATACATAGGGAGTTGTATAATTTGGAGGTTTCTTGTACAGTTTATTATATGAATTCCTCGATCACACATTATTCATGCTTCCTCCATTAGCATGGCATAGATGTCAGGATAGCTTTTCGTTTGTTTTCATTTTCATTTATTGGTTCGTTCGGCATTGTATGCTTCTCGTGCATTATTACCCAAAACACAAATATCATTCTGCGTCACTTACCCGGTTTTTTCGAGTACTTTACTTTTTCTTTCTTTTATTCGTCTGTTGTGTGTAACTTTGTCATCTACGACATTAATACCCACAGTAGTTACATAAAACTAAAATATTCTGCAACAGTAGTAAATGTCGTGGCTCGCGGCTGCCTCAAATCTTCCTCAAAAAAATAAGATTAGATTCAATGATCTGGATAACTTCCAGAGCAAGTCTGTATGTATTTGTTTTCTTAAAATACGCAACGAAATCTGAGAATTCTAATTTCATTAGAATACTAATAGAAGGAAAAACAAGAATTCAATTGATCCATTAAAATCAACAGCTGAACTGGACTATCTTGATTCAGCTAGAGTTTGTGTTGATAAACGGTACACCGAACTGGGTCCTGAACTGGTATGTAGCATTTGCCAAANTCGCACTTCCCCAAATGTCATCAGGAAACCTGTTGCTTGTGTTACATGTGAAAATGCCTTTTGTGGTGGATGTATTCGAACATGGGTTAATAAACAGTCGAAGTCTAAGCAAGCAACATGTCCATTCAATTGTGCATTCAAAGAAAAACGACCTCCACCTATTCTGATCAGTTTATTATCTAAACTTCGAATTTATTGTGCCTATGCTTCGAATGGATGCGAAGAAATACTTTCATATGATGCTCTTGAAAAACATGAACAAACATGTCAATATGAGCGAACACCATGCCAGATTTGTCAAACACCTGTATCACGTCGTGATCAAAATAACAAACATGAACTTCGTCAATGTTTCAAGGAAATGTACGATATAAATCCTGATTACGTTCAAGCACAATTTATAAAGTTGTTGGATGTTGTTGAAGCCAGTCAACGACGCATTCAAGCACTGGAAAAATTACTCGGTATTGAGTCACAAGAAAATACATGAATAGCCAACATGATTATATAACAACGTTTTTTGTAATGACACCTCAACTTTCACGTTTCGGAATAAAAATAATCAAGTAACACAGATCTGTTAAGTGATATTCGTTGTAAGAGACATGAAAATATACTGTCACTACAGTGTTTATGTGCACCCATGTCCTGAAAGTCGC